GGCGGTGACCCGCCCTCGTCGGGTCGGCGGGTTTTGCGCCTTTTTCGATGCATCTAGTTCGTGTGCGCTCTATCCTGCCGTGAATACGTGGTGGAGGTTTTGTTTCCTTGGCGGGGGTTGGGGGGCGGTAGCCACCCCTAGGGGGGGTTGCAGGGGGTGCAGCCCCCTGCAATGGAAATTCATATGAATAACCATGATTATTTTCACTGTGAGGTTATATTTTTAGGGTAATTTTATATATTGTCTGCCGCTCCGACATCGTCGCCCCTGCTATCGGGGCCAAGTTTGTCGCTAACGGGGGGTTCCGCCCAATAAAACCTACATATTTGCATTGTATAGAGTGAGAGGAATCCAACGATACCAAAATCGTCGACATCGATTATGCGGACGTAATATAGAAAATCACCGATTTGTCTTCCTACATCATAATCCTATATCATCTACCTGCATTCCGAAGTCATCCGGACATTGCCAGCACGTAAAGGTTTCTCAAAATCTTACGTATAGTGGTGGCAGTGATCTGGGGGTCTATAGGCCTACATTGACCAATTTAAAAATTTCTGAAAAGTCCATACAGCTATTCTGATTTCATGTCTGAATAGAACTACCCTTCTACTATTATATGCAGAAGACATTTTTGAGAAGTCGGCCTTACTTTTTTTTGGTGAATATTTTCCGAAGGTGACTGTTAAAACACCATAATAGATTTTGAAAATATGTCACTTTTATAAGAAGCACATGGAAATATTATTGCAAATCCTTATGGCAGCATGTAATAGAACTATTATTCATCTACAAAATGAACCATAATACGTTAAAATTGGACTGAAAATGCGTGTGCTATGCGTAAAAATGTGAAGAACCTAATAATCGCGATCTTTTTCCTGTTTATTGTTTATACATTTTGCATGACAAAACATGTACGAAATACTTGTTTTTGATATACTTATCTATTATTTACCTATTATTGCTGCTCTAATGGGGTTTTACAACTTATAATATTGGTCGACAGAATAACCGTTCCCTAGTCGGACGGGAATCATACGAACCTTTTCTCATCGCGGCCGGGGCGTCGTGGACCATGAATAAGTCTCTTTACATCTGCAGAATAATGGTATCTAACTCTACGGGGCCACGGGGCCAATTTTCACACTCAGGCAATGAACGCTTTGAACAGTTCCTACAAAGCATTAACAATAACACTTCAATGTCTGAGGTCTGGAAAAAATTAACCGTCTTTCAGGCAAACCGACTAATTCTCCACAGTTTCATAGTCCTCTTGCACAGGCAGATATGCTCCTTAGTCAGTGGGCCGGAGCGTCCAAATTGAACTCACTTCCCACAAATATTCAGAACCACCTTAATCAGTCTAAAATTGCACGGAAATTTGCTATAGAGATTGGATGTTCTGATTCCGATATTTCTGACTCTGCTGAGATTAGTGAGTGGGAATTGAACAATGCACTAAGCAAAGGCAAGGCGTCCGCCCCAGGTGAAGATGGAATTACCTATAGTGTCTTTCGCCTTATAGCCCAGGTACCTGGTAATCCCCTTTTGCACCTGTACAGGCTGAGCTTGTCACAAAGTATTCTACCTGACTCCTGGACGCGCAGTCTAATCATCCCTATACCGAAACCAAACACTGACAAACACCGCCCAATTTCACTAACCTCATGTTTATGCAAAGTCCTAGAAAGGATAATTCTAAACAGACTCAGGTACAGGTTACAAGGTAAATTATCTCACAGACTGTACGGATTCTTACCGGGACGTAGTACACAACATTGCTTTGCAGAGTATTTTTCAGGCTGTAACCCAGGGAAGCACACTGTTTTTCTTGATCTTAAGTCAGCTTTTGACATTGCAAACAGAGAAGTCATTCTAGAACAATTGGCAACAATTGGCATACGAGGTAAATTATTGAGCTGGATTAGAATGTATCTTTCTAACAGATCCGCAAGTGTCTTGTTCAGGGGAGTGAGGAGTTCCACCTCACAGCCATTTGAACTTGGGACGCCACAGGGAGGAGTTCTCAGCCCTACGCTGTTCAATGTCCTTATGCACAAATTGGTGACAGATATTCCACTTGGGGATGGGGAATCTATTATATGTTATGCTGATGACATATGTGTCAGAGCATCATCATATGAAAGAATGCAAAGAATTCTCGACGAACTCACAACAAGGGCACATGAGTGTGGATTAGTCATCTCTGCTGAAAAAACAATGGCTCTCAACCCGGGTGTTATATCCCCACCCACGTTTCACATGGGAAACCAGGAGCTTGACATGTGTTATAAGTATAAATATCTCGGGGTGAACGTAAATGATGCAGACCTGATCACTTCTCTGAAGAAGAGACTCTGGGAGAGATTAAAACCGCTGAAAGTCCTTGTCGGAAAGGGACATGGCATCAATGTCAAGCTCGCTAGATTGTTTTACTTGGCCTTTATAAGGTCAGTTGTAGACTACCATGCACTGCACTTACTGCAGTATAAGGACTCAGATATAAACAGTTTGGAGATAGTCCAAAACGAAGCTATGAGGATTATCCTCGGCGCCCCGAGAACAGCAAGGATAGTGAACATGAGATCAGAACTAAACTTACCATCCATTTTTGATAGAATAATATATATATGCACTCTGTTTGGGGTCAAAGCCCTGAGGGAACCCTTGTATCTCACACATTTCCAAAAACAGCTGCAACATAAAATCACGCAAGCAGACGAGGCTAATCAGACACACGACCGTTCTCTGGTACACAAAATCTGCATGAACATTACCAAGCTTAACGTCCCCATAAGTAAGATACCAAAAGGTCGATCCATTCCCCCATGGAAAAACTCATCACTGATTGTGCACTTTACATGTCTACCGCAAAAAAAAAAAACACTACCTAACTGCGTGTTGAAACAAATTGCTTTGGCGACGGTAAAGGAACACTTAGAATCTATGGGCGATGTGTACGAGTGTTACGCTGACGGTTCCGTACAGTCTGGATACAAAGCTGGTTGTGCTTGCGCTGTATACAAAAATGGTTTATTGCAACATCAAGTTCATATGAGAGTACAATATTGGGCCAGCACCACTCAAACGGAGTTGGCAGGTATACTCCTTGCAACAGAATACTTAATGTCTCGGGGCTCTGGAGTAGTTTTTTGTGATTCCCAAAGCGCTCTTCGGATACTAAGTTCCTTCAAAACAGTTGGAGATGAGGGGATTGCGAACTGCATTAAGCGTAACGTAACTTATGCAAGAGAGCACAATTTTAAGAGAGGTTCGGCAGGAATGGGTTTGGCAGTGAAGTCAGTTCGGGCAAGGTCTACATAAGTACTTACATAGAGCTTAAGTTAGGGTAGACTGTACGAGCGATTTTGATGTAACTGTGACTAGGCGTGAACGATTGGAGCGACTGCGATGCTGGTAACTTTGCCTACTTGTTTTCTGAGGCACTGTTGAAAGAATAGGATATTTCACAATATGGGGCAGTCGGGGAATCACAAAGAATCGATCCCACTTGGCTGGGCCAAAGAGAATAGTCAAAAGGTTTGCAGAGGTAGAGGCAGTGGTAATTTCAAGAAAATTACCGAGGCAGTACAAGGAAGAGGGCGTGAGGAAAATGGGGTATAGTTCTGTGGGGAAGGGTGGATATTAAAGGTAAACAGGAGTAATAAGTGAAGAGAGGGATAGAAGACTGCATTAGGAGATTAGGAGAAGACATTGAAGACTGCAGTAGGAGATGGAGAGGAGAATGCTGGTAGTTAGGAAGGGGAGCATTCTGGAGTAATAACCTTGATAGGTGTTTTGGAATGGTCAGTGTTGTCAGTAAACGGCGAGGAGAGGGTATTAGTATTTGGGGTTGGGGCTGTGGTCAAAGTAGGGGCAGGGGACAGAAGAGGGGGATAAAGATACGGAAGAGGAAAGGGGGATAAGTTAAGACCAAGGAAAATCAATCGAGGTGAGGGCTGAGGCCCAAGGTAGTGGTGATCCCCTAAAATGGGCCTCAGTCTCTGTCTCCTAAGCTCCTCCCTTGACAATGAGCAGGGTATTGGGAGCGTGTGGAGTTCATAAGCAGCTTCTACACAAGGCATTTGTCACACTCGAACAAAGCAGGTTGATATATGTAAAATAATGGAATATGTGAACCGACTTATAGGTTTGATAGCGGATATGTCCTTTCAAGAATTGTAAATAGTAAAAATTTACTTTTCATTTTTGTGCTCATTTGATTGTGTCATCTAAGGGCTTCCTGGTTAAGTTTTTTTTCTGGATTAGTGTCACATCTAATCTGGTAAGCCATTCACAGTTTGGTTTGGTCATTTGAGTTTAACCTAATAAAATTTATGAATCATTGTTCAAATAGATGCATGTGGAAGGTATGATACGATATTGTGTGAAATATGATATTCTCGCCTGTTATTATTTACCTCCTTGTGGATTAATGATTGAAAATGCCTGTACAGTTAATGTAATTTTATTTTGGGTTTTATTGTAACAACTTGATTTTTTTTTTATCCACTGTGCATGTTTGTATCCTGGTCACTGTGTAGCTGGGAGTTGACTACTTTTTGCCATGATCAAGAAAGCTACCTTAATAATCCATGTCAGAGTCCATCAAACAGATATAAAGGCATTTTTTTCTAGATCTTCCATATTTCAAGGTTTTATTTTAAGCAAATATATAAATACAATTTTAAAAGTAAGAGATAGTTTAAATCTCTGAGTATTGTTTAAATATAGAAGGTAGTATGTAACATGTTAAAGGTTAAAAATATGTTAAGTTCCAGAGGTGCTTGGAGGTCTACTTCATATTCAAGCCAACTCTAAGCATGGCATAATGGCAAGACTTAGAGGTCATTTGAAAAGGACTTGAAAGCTCAGAATTAAGGATATATATTCTGTTTTAATAACAAAATAAAACTAAATGCAGCCAATGTCAAAATACTTTTTGTTTTTAGATAAGAATCATTAGATTTTTAAGGTGTTTTTAAAAGCAGGACTTGCGTACACACTTTTATTATATGTTACATGTTAGACGGTAAGACACAAGGGCCTTCTGACCCTAGGCACTGTTTCTTTTGCGACGGATTTACTGGAGTGGGCTCGCAAGAACAAGGTGGTGGGCAGTGCACAGAGAGAGGGAGAATACAAGTATACATGTAAGTATACATATCTTTCATGCCTTAAAAAGAAGAGAAATCATTCACTAAAACTTTCCCCTACAAATTCTAAAAGCAGTAAGTAATATTGATTACATGACATTTAAGAAGCTCTATCATGTTAATAAACAATAAATAACCTATAAATCTTCTATTTCATAAAATTCCCCCTCCCTCTTATTTACCCTCTTTGTACTAAGCTACATTACAATAGCATACATTACAACTGTACATCATGATATGTTTTATGTGACTAATATAAGAAAATTTTCAGCACCAAAATGTTAATTCAGTAACCAAAATGTAAGCATGTCAGCTGTTATTCATTTACATCTATGGGATAAGTTGTGAAACATTCTAGGCTGAATGGTTTAAACTTTTAGAGAACATTCCAATTTAACATTTTATTATTTGGTTTATCTGTTATTAAAAGGATTACTTATTTCTAAATATAGGATTCAATATATTAATTATAATCAATAAGCATTATCTTTCAGTTGCATTTTCCCCATAATAACTATCTAGTTTGATTTAAAGCAATGGGGGAAATACAATAACCTTAAAAAATTATAAATTGAAACTGGATAATATTATGTGATAAGGCTGGTGTCCATTTCCTCCATACATCCAAGAGTGGATGCCTGTGGCTGGACATTTAAAGGCACCTGTAGTTCAGGACTTAAAATTCTTACCTAACTTGCACGCAGACATAAAAGCACATGGGTGAAAGCGACATGAAGCCTGACAATGAACTCAAATTACTGCACCTGTATACATGCTGATATATAATATTCAGTAAATTTAATGTCTGTCTACACAAAATAGATTTCTTCAGAGACAATAATGTAAGCAATGCAATCCTAACCAGGCTGGGAAGATCTACTCTATAACACCTAACACAATAAATGCATTTGGTATCTTGTTTCAGCTCTCCTCTACATGATAGCTTCTGTTTGAGCTGGTCATGTGCATGGTGCGCTCAATACGCTGAGTTGAGCTTGACAGAATCTGCTGGGCATTCTGAGTGGAAGTTCTGCTGGATCTGTTCAAGGAGGTGTTGGCAGAGGAGCTAGCCGAACCAGTTCCTTTGTTCTGGAATGCTCTAAGGGCTTCCTTGAATGTCGGTCCATCATCAAACTCTGCACCACCATCGCTGGCTCCAGACAGGTTGAATGAATTATCAGCAGATCCGCCATTTGACTGGAAATGTGACTGGTTGAAAGACTGGGATGTTTGGTGTGAAGTAAGATGGCTGCGGATGGGGCTTGGGTTAAATGACGTGGTGTGGGAGAGGTTTGGCGACCTTGTTTGCGGGGGATCCGGATACTTGCATGTAACCTTTACAGCACGAGTGGTAGTGATGACACCAGAATTTTCATGGGAGGAATCATAACTGCAAAGAAATAAACATACAAAAAATAAATAAAAGAATATAAAAGTACAATTCACACCTCGTATATTCCGACTAGATTAAAAATTTCAGCAACAATGCTAATTTGGCTCCCATTTTATCTATAATAATTTTGTAACACTTTTCTATGACCAATTAAATTAATGTGTAGCTCTACTCATACGTATACACAATATCATAAATTTATCTCTAATTATTATATAAAGAGGAATTTTCCAAGTACTGTCTGAAGTACAAGAAGAATGTCATCATAATAAATTGCAAAGAAAAATATTGATATATAAGTTATCCATATATCTACTATCAATATGCAAGCATTTAGTGCAGAGGATATTTCAATTCATACAAAGGACTTACCCAGAGAGATATCCATCAGTGTCTGAAAGTCCTGACTCATTGCCATCCTTTCCATACTTCTGACGACGGATAGCTAATAACTTGGCTCTGGCCTCTGCAAGTTCTCTTTCTACTTTCAGGACCTGTTCTCGGGCATCAATCTCCTGGGCCATACCGCCAACAAGACGATTTTTAACAACTACAGTAAACTCTTCTTCATGTTCAATGGCCTGCTGGGCAGCCTTTACCAAGTTGTCTGTGGCTCGCTTAACTGCATTTCCTGCTGCCTGCAAGCGCTTGGTGGCATTTGAGTCTGGATCAGCCTTTACTTTACATGCTACAAGCAACTGAGCAGTTGAACCAGCCACTTGCTTTGCAGCTGAGATCAGCTTCTCTTCACTTGCTTGTCCTTGGACTAGTGCATTAGCAGCTTCACACAGAGAATGTGTGGCTGCAGCCACAAGACGAGCAGCTGAAACCAACCCCTCAGACCACTGCCCATCATCAGAGGTGACTGTAGGACGACGCCTGACTCTTCCGGAATCAACAAGCTCACGTTGTGCTGAAGAAGCAGCCTTTACAAGAGCTCCTGTGGCTGCTGCAATAGACTTACAGGCCTCCAAGATGATTTCATCGAAGTTCATAGATTCATCAATTTCCTGAAATTATTCAAATATTAAGCATTAGATGAAGTATACTGACAACAGAACTTTCATAGCTAATTTTCAAAAAGACATCCTACCATCATATAACAAGAAAGCATTCCATGAATGCCAACATCCCTCAGTATAATATCTATGAATATTATAAAGTATATATAGATATGACATGTAAAGCAAAGGATAATGAATTGTACAAACAAAAATCCTAAAATCTTAAGGCAAAACAAAACTCAACAAACATCTGTTTATGGTGCCCTATCATTTCCCTCATAATTTAATTACTTGTATCAAGTTGACATTCCCTTGTAGCTCTACCCTGGGTAGAATCTATCACAGTTGTGGGGGTTCTTCAGGACGATACTTCATTGAGCTGTGATAATATGTTTGATTCTTAGTCGAGGCCAATCAACAACCAAGAATATCAAACATATCTCAAAGCAACAATGATTTGCTTGCTGCACTGGCTGCATTCTTGTTGGACACTTCAGGAGAACATCATACAATTCTTCAGCCTCTTGGCAGCCAACTGGTTCCCAATGGCTTTCCAAAATTTATACCAAAATAACTCCCTTCCAAATTTGGATTTCAAATATACCTTCATACACAAGCTTGTGTACCTGAATTGTGTAAATAATTTTGATATGAATTTATATATGTTACCTACATTTTAAAGTTTACATGTTTCTGTTGCATGGACAATGCATTTATCCTAAAATGCAAAACTTGCAAGTTCTATACTTAAAGAGTAATAAGGGAGTCCTTCAACTTTACATTCATTAATAGTAAACATACTCATTCTGATAATCCTTCGGCTAAATCTTACAACTAGCTCCAAACTATGCTACCACTAACTTATTACACAGTATAGAACACTGAATTCAAATATTTTTACAAATTTATATATACATATATTACACCCTATCAATCACTGATTACAACAGTATCAATCACTGATTACAACAGAATCTTTGCAACATATAATAGGTGTGGTTACTCTACAAAATACACCATCAGTGCTCAAGAGAGAAATATCCACCTCTTACCCTTGGAAGGAGAAAGAAAAAGAAATATATATATTTAATAATAATTAAGAAAAACAAAAAACAAAAGCAACCCAAGTTCATAGCTTACCTTTGTCTCAGTACGGCGAGGCCTTAGAGCCATCAACTTCCGAGCAGCAGCATCAATAGAATTGGCAGCACCAATGAGTTCATTCTCAGCAATTACAGTCGGATCATCAGGATCTTCCCAATCATGACCTGAGAGCATAGGAACAGCCATTAATTTTTCAGCAACAATTTCTGAAATCTGCAGTACAGACTTATTAATGAAAAAAGGGAAAAATAATGTCACTTTCCTGAAGCTCACTGTGAATTTTTCCAGGGAATTTTTTTATTTTATTTATTTTTTTTTTTTTTTCTTTTATTATTATTTTTTTTACATCATGAAACGAGACAAGATTCCAGTAACCATGAACCTTTCTTTTTTTTTCAATCCTAATTTAAGATTTAATGGCTTGTGCATAATCTTTTCTGTTTGTCTGTTGTCCCTTTTCAAAATAAACTGTTTAATAATGCAAAAGATATATTTTTTTGGTTTTATACAAACTTTGTAACTTTTCTTATCTAGACGAATAATTCAACTAATAGATTTTCTTGAAAAAAAAGGCAATCCTGTAAGAAGACTACCTCAACTTCATCTACTAACAATATCCTTAACTATATCTGTTTTAATTTCCTTAAATAACAAGAGATTAAGAAGGAACATTAGCTTTATTCTATCTACTTAAGCAGGAGCACCAGGCTTCTACCCTAAGTGGCCATAAGATATAGAATATTTGTCATTTAACTTTGAAAATTCTACCAACATTATCATGAAGAAGTCAATATTCATATAATTCAGCAGTTGGATTCTTGCCATGCTATTTCTATAAGAGAATCCCTTATAAAAATATATATTTACAACATGAGCTACTCTGCATACTGAATATGTGTACCCTTAAGAGATGAGGATGCATAATGAATAACAATATTTACACAGAAGATTCACCTGTACTTTATCCTCCATGCCTGTTCTGATTATCTCATGAAAAGAAAGCATCAAAATTGAACCAGAACATGATAATATTAAATTCAAGTACACAGAAATGGTTCAACAGTGATACTTGACAACAAAGCCACTACACAGCCTTCAACCCACTACCAAGCTCAGAGATATATCTGGACACGAAGATGCTCATCACCATACTAAAAGAATTGGAAAGATAGCATTTTGTGAAATGAATTCTTCAGGCAATCAATATCCATGGCATAACCATTCCAGAGAGAACTGACAAATGCAAAGCATCTTGAATGATACAGAAACTGTGATATGCAAAATTTCCTCACAAAGAGGCACTATCATATCACAAGATCTTGGTTAACGAAACTGCTACAACGAGTCCGGAGACAAGGATAGTACATGCATAATGCTAGTCTACAACTGGGAAAATATCACGGCTACTTGTGCGCTTCACTCACCACTGGGCGGACTCACGCCGACCTCGTGCCATTTGAAGTGGGCTGTAGGGGGGACATGGTAAGGGTGTGCACTTGGAAGGGTATGTGGGGTGCAATATCCTGTATTATGTTTCTATTACCTGTTGTCATGAATGAGAAGCCATCTTCCCATGCCATTTTTAACTTTTCTTTACTTTTTACAAGAGATGACCTTTAGTGCATTCATAGTGCAGGATATATGCATCCTTCATAATTCACTTCCTTCTGAAAATCGCTTACATACTCAAAAAACACCAAACATCTTCACTCTCTTCCATGGTCTAAATCCATCCTACTACTATAAATATTCCTAGTGAATAATGCATTTCTCAATTGAAAATTGTCTTAAAAATACATGCATCAAAGCCACTCCCAAATCATGCATAGATGACTGTTCCATGAGCTCTTGGAGAACTTAAAATAAATAAAATCATAAATAAATAAATCAAAGAAAACAAAGAAAAAAAAAAGCACCAACACCCATTCACAAAATATACCATTACATTTTTTATGCCCCCCATCCATCCCTGACTATTTCTCTAATTCAAAATACTGAACCATTCACTTCCCAATGATACTTTACTTATCACAAAGCCAACAATAAACTGCTATGCAAAACACAGCCTTAATACAAAAACAAGCCATTCAACAAGCCATCTTACATTCAGGTACATCACTAATCTTACCTTTCAAGGCCTCAGATGTAGAGACTAAATCTGTAACACACTGAGCAATCTTGCGAGACACTGTGCTCAGGGCATTGCGGGCCTCAGGACTTGGCTTGTGAATAAGATGCATGACCATCTGCAGCA